GCAAAGTAGGAGACGAGTCCCGGGTGGAAGAAGAGATTACCGAAAGGTATCAATTTTTCATTTGGCAAAGAGCAAGATTATGAACTACACTTATCATTTGTTGAAATTTTGGAGATCATTTATCAATGTTTCGCATTTAGTTATACCCAGACTGTGTCATTCTGACTAGCTTTCAGTATGAGTTTGCAGAGAAGTCCACCTGTTTAATTTACCACATTTCATGTAGCACACAAAGGTAGAGACATAAAACTAAATGGAAGTTTAACGAGAGAAAATGTGAGGGAGAATAAATAATGACAAGGAAAAACATGAGTTGAATAGATATGTGAGATTACACAGAGTGAATGCACCAGTACCAGTACCAAAGATTTGCAGTCACATCTCCGGTATTTCTTCCAGCTCACTGTCAACAATTTTATGAACCAATATCACTTTTTCATTTGACCGACCCAAACGCATTTTAAACCTTAACATGTGCTGGTCAGCATTGTCCCTGGAGGAAGGCGATGGCTTTGTATGCCAGCACGTGTTCTAGCCATCTCAACCTATTCAGCTTCCCTACCTTGAAGGCTAACTAACCCTCCCCACCTAAACATTTATGCGTAACCTCAACAGCACTCGCCATATTATACTGCTTTACTCATGAGATAGAACGCGGACACCTATAATCAAACACCGGTATTATTTTCATATTTTACAGCATCAGGGGTTACTTCTCATAGTCTAGGTGGACAATATCATCAGCAAACCGTAAGGTGATGAGAATATTCCCTGATAAGTCTTTGAAGTCAATTACAGACTATCATATTATTATATGTGTGATTGAATTGAACTGTTATAAGGATGACAGTTTAAGAATTCAGCCTTGTATTACATCCCACTCGGAAATGTGTTTTCTCGGATAATTCGCAAACAGTATTCAGTGAATAGAAAACATTCTGTAGGCTTGATGAAACTCGTAAACTGACGCACTACTTTTGCAGGCAATATACTATTTCCTCAATAAAGTGAGAATTGAATACTTCGGCTGCATAAAACGAGTAATTACTACTTAAGTAGTATTCTGGCAATACCAATGACTACAACAAGTCTAGGAGTTAAGCACTACAACTTTTAACTTACTGAATACACCAGCAGACTTTACATAAACACTTGACAGATCAAATTTATGCAGGAAGTCAGTAAGATTCTGTAAACTAAAAGTGCTTTCGGTTTCCACAGGAGTTCTCCGTGCCGAATTTATTCCTTCAAGGGCCTACAAAGATTAAAACTTCAATTAAATAACACTGACGTGGAAGAAATTCCATTCTTCATTACTACACTTAATGAAAAGAATTATGTTTTTTATTTAAAAAGACTATTTACTTTATGTAAATGCAGTTACATACAGTTGCACTAAGAACTCAACGCAGCTCGATACACAATAGTATATATACAAATAGACTGAAAAATAATGCCCTCCTTACGGGTGAGTATATACGTGGTTTCGTGTTATATTATCCGCGACTAATTTTTTTCGTCTTTCATAGCTAGAATGGTGGCGGTCAATTGGAGTTTGAATTGTCATTGCGTGCGTGCTGTCGGGTGTTGTGGGGATATAGGCCGACACCAGGTGTTATCGCGCAATGCCATCGGTTACCGCGCTCACGTCAACAGACGTTATAATCACCTATTTTTTTGGAAATAGATTATATTTGACTAGTTTTAGACTTCTGTAGCCGGATGGCAGTATTTTGCTGTATTTTGTTCTTAGTAGAGCGTAAAATTGTATATTATAGCTCGGACGAATTATCAATGAAGAAGTCATCCTTTTTAAGAAAGTTCGCATAGAAAGACTATTATTTGCATTATAGTGCGTTGAGGGTTTGTTTTTTTGCGAGTTGTTTCAGATCTTAAGGTTGTAAATATACTGCAGTCAATGGCTGTTGTCATTCCAGTGAATCTATTAGAATCTGGCCTATGAAAGAGAAATAGCATGCAGGCATAGGTTAGATGTGTGCTTTGAACATGTTAAACTTTTCTGTTATCATCCGCGATGACTGGATAACTCATAACACATCGGCGACATTATGCGATGAATGAGATAGGCTGCTGAATTTCCTGGTGATTATATCTATTTTGATGAAGTTCCTAGTTAAAAGTGCTTGGGCGAAGATGTAAAAATAGTTTAATTGACATTTACACATGAAATTTCACAAGGCCTTCATTGCTCAGTGCATGAAATGGCATCAGAGTATATTGACATCAGTGTTCATTGTGTCTGGAAGAATAGTATAAATAGTCCTTCTCAAATGTCAGAGTACTTAAAATTAGTACCAGATTTCTGTCGATTAGTAGCTAGCGGCTGTGTCGTACAACTACTACACCTGTTACATAGGTTATATCAATCTTAAAAATTATTTTGCTTCACATCACTAAGATAATCTGAGATCCTTAATGACTTAATTGTGGCTATGAAATATGTAGAAGATGCACTTATGGCTGATATATTTAAAGCAGTTATTATTAAACAAGTTATCTGTAAGCAACTTGTGATGTTCTGAATACTGCAAACTGTTGATAAGAAACTGCATCAAAGGAAAAAATGCTGAACAGCTAGAAAATACTACTGCAGTTTCGTTGGTTGTTACCTTTTGCATTTGTAAGTCATCCTTTCAAAGCTGCGATTGACGCCAAACCATCCATGGCACCCCACAGGCTCTATAGAAATTTGTGAGAGATCTTACATGTCAGGTTGTCTTCCAAATTGTAAGGTTGCAGATAGTTCAATTTACCTCTCACTGAAATATCACTTATCTACTTCACTATGGTCTTTTCATTTGTGCACTATTACACTTCATTTTATGTTAACTGGATATGCCTTTATTAAAGCTGAGACTTACTCTTTGTGCCTATTAGTTGCTTGCTTACAGTCTATTTGCTTTTATTAGAAACACAACAACACCAGTGTTGGAACAAAGCTGTATTTTCATGGAAAACGTCATATTTTCTATGTTTACACCAATATGATTGGCATTAAACATTGCAAATGTATACTCACATTCCAAGGACATAGTACTTAACCAAATGTACGGTGTTCATTGTTAAGGGTTCACAATTTAACTCTTATAATTTATGATACTTCACGATTGCAGTTTATAACATAACTTATTGCGCCTGTAGAAATGACATGCATTCTTTGTAAACATTGGTTTATACGAAATTTGAAATTATTACTATATGCTTGCTGCTATCCTTTAGAAGAGGAATAATGTGTGTGGCAGTGAAAACCCCAGAAGAATGATGTCATTACCAAAGAATGAGAAAGGAGAATGAACCATTTTCAGCAAAGGTAGGCAGATATAAATCGTTTACCTTTAATATTACTTCTTCCTTACTTCAGCTATTTAAAAAACACTTTGTTTACTTATTTGTAGATATCTGGTAACGTCAATCACCCCAGTCACAGAGATTCGACATTGCACAAATTATTCCGACAATCGACTGCGTAAAGACATTTGCTTGTTATTATTTTTTCATTAAATACATTTAATATCCTGCTTACCAGACCTTTCTTATTATATCTGAGTGTAGATATATTTGTCATGATGACTAGGTGCAGACATGACTTATTAATAAGAACTGACGAAGTAATTGGTGGCATATTTTAGTGTAAGCTAAATCTAAATACGATTGTTAAAGCTCAACGAATTCAATAATTCGTCTGGTGTAGACTTTAATTTACGCTACATGTCAACAGCCTTAGTCATATGGATTGACATCACGCTTTAAGTGAAACATTAGTAATGCAATACTTTCGAATACACGTAACCGTATAAGAACTGGGACTCGAATGCAGTGCCTAAGTTATGCCTACTATTGTCCCTAAAGACTTGTATATGACTATGATACGTATGCACGTTAGCTAACTAAAATACTTATAATTTAACACGTATGCTGACCGACATCGTTCCTACACAATTACACTTACGTATTGTTAGTAGTGAAAGTCCTAGAGAGCACCGGTCTAGCATGCCGTGCTCACAAAGTGAACACATGAATTGAAAGACAACAAAATTTACATGAAAATTTTATTTTCATTATGATACAAATTTAGTTTATTTACATATTAAGAACACGATTGATTCCTGCGATTACTCCGTCTGCATAAGTATTGGCAAACACTTCTCCAAATTTGTCATTAATTCTGTTCATACCCGCAATGATAATCCTCTTTTTGGTATCGTATATGTCACTTCGATTTCGAGGGATAACTGCTGACGTACTTTGAGATGCGAACAAGTTGCGTGACCACGTCCATTGTTTACAATTATGCATCACATGGTTAACTACAAAAGGTGGAAGAAAAAACGTTAAGATAACTATGAACTGATTATTACATTACATTATACATTAAAAACGTAGTCATAAAAACGCAAATATACCTGTGAAATACGGCTTTCTGAAGTGGACCAAAAGCAAGTGTCGGCAGGGGTACCGACAGGTCTGAAATGTAAAGCACGTGCAGGTGCAAGCACTCAGATCAACCTGCACTGTATTCCCATTTTCTTTGAAGAATACATAATCAAAGGATTCAAACTCAACAATAGCCCATCGTCGCCATTGGTATTCACGTATTACCTTCCTCGCGGCGTATGGCGTCAGCAACCGTATAATTGGGATTAGACGTTGTGAACAGGGATACGTGAAGCATCGTGACTGAGCAATATTCGCCTCCTGCTGTATTATTGAAAAACTTCGTTTATGCCATTTATACACCTTTAGCATACTTTTATGCAGACTATCAGATCTTTGCAAAAACCGTTTCATCTGCTTGTGGGAACTCTCGACACGATTATTTGTATCGTTCCCAAAAGTCAGCACGTTATCTCTGAAACAGGCTGCCCACAATTCTCGTCGATGCATCCAACGACGTTGTAGATATTGACTGACATTAGCATCCAATCTGCTAATAACTCTGAAGTAGAAATTAAATCTGCAAAATGAGAACAATAGAGGCATTACTCTGATCTCCTTTTACACTGCACTAGACGGCATAAATAATTCTTCACAATGGGATTTCTTGTCTACGAATAAAATGTAAAGTATGCTTCGAAAAACTTACTTTCCGACAGAAAGCTCGGCAAACATGGAAAGAACACAAAACAATGTGCGCTTGTCTGTGCGTTAACTTGACGGCTGCTATTTCAGCTTGCGCACAATCCATAATGAAGGATTCTGTTTTGGAGGTGTCTTCCATTATTTGCCGGAAACAGTCTAATATCCAAACTACATCTCGTTTGAATTCTTTTCTAGTCCACGCAAATAAAACTGGTCGTCCACGACCAAAATTATCCGTCACAAGTAATTGGAACAAAGAATACCTGCACGTTGGTTAATGAATTGGTAAACTTACTTCCCCTTATTTGTATTATACGTCGAGTCGATACCAACAACTTCAGGGAACTGTTTATACAATTCCATTTGCTCATAAGTTGCAAAACAAATTCTTGTTAGTGAATTCCTGATCGGTTCATCGGAATAATACTCCATTAACTTCCCACGGGATTTTAGGAATTCAAAAATGTCACGACGACTCGAAATACCTTAAGTATGTAACAAGTACGTCAACGTTACCTTTATTCACTGCGGCTTTCATATTTTTAACGTCAATGCGAGTTATATCCTTGTTGTACTTCTCCTTAACATGCATTATTATTTCATCGGATGAGTGGGATTGCTGAAGAAGTGGTTCAACATTTTCTTTCTCTTCAACTGTTAGTCGTCTATACCATGGGTCATTCTGCATGTACACCCTGCTGCATGGATGGTTATGCACCATATTGTGGGAAGCAATTATGTATTCACTATAATGCAAAACCACGCGAAATGAAGACGAGCAATTGCAACATTTAGACCTGAAATATTCATGAAATCATATTACACTTCTTCTTACGACTTGTTTTTCAATTTCAATCCAGGTCTTGTACGATTCACTCCAAAAGTGCATTTAAAACCAACATAAGCGTACTTAAACCTGTCATCCGGTATCGTTTTGCTGCAATTATGAACATAGTGAGTGTAGGATAACTACACTGTTAGCATTAAATGACTTCCTCACTTTTTGAAATTCTGCTAATGACTTCTCAAATTCATCCCAGCTGAAGAAACGCTTTCCAAGTATGTATTCAGCAAAAATTCCACTTAAATCTGTGCTCCTGTCACTCGAATTGACTACCTGCAACGGACTAAAATAAAATTATCAATTAGGATCCATCTATGTCACAACTATTCCAAGATAAATCGTAAAAAAACAACATTGAAATACAGGGATGATCGATAACCATCAAGAAAATACCGCACGTATAACCTAAATTACAGAAAAACACAAGAACCCACCGGTTCGTTGACATCGCAAGCAACCAATAGACCAAACAACGAATTGTACGACAAATAAAGCCTAGTACATGCACAAACAAAGAGTTATCCATTGTCATCGCGGATGATAACAGAAAAGTTTAACATGTTCAAAGCACACATGTAACCTATGCCTGCATGCTATTTCTCTTTCATATGCCAGATTCTAATAGATTCACTGGAATGACAACAGACATTGACTGCAGTATATTTACAACCTTAAGATCTGAAACAACTCGCAAAAAAACAAACCCTCAACGCACTATAATGCAAATAATAGTCTTTCTATGCGAACTTTCTTAAAAAGGATGACTTCTTCATTGATAATTCGTCCGAGCTATAATATACAATTTTACGCTCTACTAAGAACAAAATACAGCAAAATACTGCCATCCGGCTACAGAAGTCTAAAACTAGTCAAATATAATCTATTTCCAAAAAATAGGTGATTATAACGTCTGTTGACGTGAGCGCGGTAACCGATGGCATTGCGCGATAACACCTGGTGTCGGCCTATATCCTCACACGAAATCGCAATATTACGTCAGTTAAATCTTCCCCGAAAACCAAGGCCACTTCAATATCCAATATTCTGATTACGAGCTAGTATAAACCAGTGATTTCTTTGAGCTCGCTTCTTGATTGTGAGGTAGAGGTTCCAGATCTTCGGTGAGCTTCTGCGTAATATGTCCCGCCACTCGACTGCTCTAGCTCTGGTAGACTCCAAGAGGAGTGGTGTGGGGATTGGTCAAGATGTGGTTTGTAGTATGCAGTATGTTAGGACTGTATTGCTGCCGTGAATGGAGTTTGACCTAACTCCCGTTGGCCATTCGGTGTAGTCATAAAAGCAGAATAGTAATAATAATAATAGGTTGTAGTGTAGATAATATAGGCTGAGATAAGTGGAATAATAAAGGTGACCTAAGGAAAAGATAGAGTGAGAGAAAGCAGAATAGGTCGTGGGGATTTAGTTTGTACGCTTATCCATTGACAGTGTGGTTTTAAGTTTTATGAGGATAAGCCATTGAAACACAAACCTTGCATTTCTGCATGATTGTCTAGCTTCCGCTAAAAAATCTCCACAGATGGCGCTGTAGTCACGGCCGCCGGTAAAGCGTTCCAGAAACCGCAAACACGAAGCGAAATGTGATCGCACTCGAGTCTTTGGTCTCTGGTGTGCTATCCTTAGCGGGTTACCTCGTGGAAGCCTATAATCACTTAATGGCAGGATGCTTTTATTTGGGTGGGCCTGGTCATTTAGGATCTTGTAGACGGTGATGAGGTCTCCCCTGTGCCTACGGTAACTAAGTGTGAAAAGTCCCAATTTCTTTAGTCTTTCCTCATATGATTTGTTGCGGAGGCCGATCACCCATTTTGTCGCTCGTCTCTGGACACTTTCTAGAATGTTAGCATCCCTTTTGAGTAGCGGAGGTGCAATGATATTATGCACCTCAAGGTGTGGCCTCACATAAGCCTTGTATAGCCTTGAGAACAGTTCGGGAGTGAGAGCTCCCAGCTGCCTGTGCATAAAGTGTAATGTTGCCTAAGCTTTGGCGACGTCCCTCGAGTAATTTCCACTGTTGTCTAGCTTTTCTGTTAGAATAAGACCTAGATCACGCTCTGATGGAACACAACTCAAGTTCTGGCCACCAAGGGTGTAATTTACACTCTGTGACCTACCGGATTGAAGCTGCACTACTTTGCACTTCTTTAGATTGAAAGGCATTCCGTTAGCCAAAGCCCAATTTGCCAGAGTTTGCAGGTCAGCCTGCAATCTATCTGAGTCTTCCGATGAGTTTATTGCTCTCCAAATCTTGACGTCGTCAGCGTAAAGAAGCGCAGAGCAGTTTAGTTGGGGGGGCAGGTCATTGATAAAAATCAAAAACATCAACGGCCCTAGGATAGAACCCTGAGGAACCCCTGATGCCGAGGTGTGCCAGGATGATCGGATGCGGTTGACTTTGGTGCAGAATTCTCTCTCACCTAGGTAGTCTTTCAGCCATGCGAGAAGTGCTCCAGAAACTCCCGCCTTGTTTATTTTGTGAAGGAGCAGACCATGGTGAACTGTGTCGAATGCTTTCGCAAAGTCGAGAAAGATCACGTACCCTGCGTCCCAGGATAGTGTCCAATCGTTCCAAGCTAGTAGAAGATTCGTCACGCAGGATCTTCCCCTCCTGAAACCGTGCTGTGCTTCATGAAGAAGGTTAGTCCCATCGAAGTATTTTCTCATGTGGTCGTCAATGAGACTTTCCAATATTTTGATGTGGTTTTGTTCTCTGAGCTGGATGGTTAGTTTGCGAAGCTTTCATCACCTTACTGGGTGACATCTTCAGCGCATACTTCAAATTGAAGTATGCGCTGAAGATGTCACCAGTAGGTGATGAAAGCTTCGCAAACTAACCATCCAGCTCAAAACAAAACCACATCAAAATCATCCACCTGAGCTACAAATCTTCTCTATCATATCTAAACTTTCCAATATCTTCGATACCACTAGAAGTAGAGCAACTGGTCTGTAACTGGTCACATTCTGCCGGTCACCACCCTTGAAGATAGGGGATAGGATTGCTCGTCTCTATTCACATGGAAGTTTCCCTACATCAAGGGAGTGTCGGAACAGATCACTTAGGGGTTGGCAGAGACTTTCTGAACACTGCTTCAGGACAGATGGTCTGATGCCATCACAACCTGGAGACTTTCCCGAAGCCAACCTTCCCAATTTTGCAAGTACCATAGCCGGGGTAATTTGAAATGTACCCAGCAGGTTTTCGCGCGTTGGTTTCTCGATGTAATCTTGATGTTCTGTGGGGTAATATCCTCGTTACTGTTTAGTTGCCTGTGAAAGGCTAGACTGAACGTCTCTGCCATTTCAAGACTAGTAAGAGATTTCCCATCAGAACCCACTAGATTGCATGCTCCCTGGTTGGTCGGTTTTCTTTCGGCCATAAACCCGTATAGGCTTTTGGGGTTCACGAGAAGCTTATTGGCGAGGTTTCCCTAAAATGTCCTTCTATCGCTCCGGACTCGTATGTTACATCGATTCCTGAGTTCAAGGTACACTTCATGTTCGGGTTGACTCTTCGATCGTCGCCACGCAAACCAGGCTTTTCGCTTCGCCTGCAGAAGGCGTTGTGTCCCCCTTTTTAGCCATGATCGTTGCTTCCTAGCTTTTGGTGTGACTAAAGGAACAGTGTCTGAGACCGCCTGGTGAATGATCTCCTTTACCACTCTCCAGTGTTCTTCTACTGTTAGCTCTGTCCATTTTTTAGGCCAATTTGCTTCAGACAGAAGTCTTCGCATTTTGGTGTAGTTGGCTTTGTTATAACACAGATAGGGCTGTGTATTGTCCCACTGTAAGCGCTCGCGGAGGACTATGTCGAATACTATGACCGCGTGGTCACTACTACCTATGGGAGTCGTGATCTGAACGTTTTCCACTAGTAGCTGGTCACTAGTGAGCACGTAATCCAGTCTAGAAGACTTCCCATCAGGGCCCCATCTAGTATCCATCCTGACATTTTCAGTAAATCCAGCCTTCCTGATGGTATGCAGCAGATTTCGATCAAATCTATCATGGGCTTTTCCCGACACCAAGTTAAGAGATGGGGCATTGAAGTCACCAGCTATGACAATTTGATCATAACCCATGTCTTGAGTTGCTGAGATTGTATTTAGCAGTACCTGGTTGTGGTCTGCTCCACATGAAGGTGATCGATAAATGCTGCCCACTAGATATTTGCAGTATCCAACGGTGAAGTAGCACCATATGGAGTCAGGGAGCTCTGTGAGGGGAGGGTCCATCGCGTGAATACATCTGAGCTGTTTGTCGACGTATATGGCGAC